AAGTTTTTTGGGGGGTCCTAAGCTATACCTATAGCTTCCAGGACGCGGGTGGCACTGTGGGTTAAACCACAGAGCCTAGGACTTGCCGATCAGAAGGTCGGCGGTTCAAATCCCCGCAACAGGGTGAGCTCCCGTTGCTCAGTCCCTGCTCCTGCCAACCTAGCAGTTCGAAAGCACGTCAAAGTGCAAGTAGATAAATAGGTACCGCTCCGGCAGGAAGGTAAACGGCGTTTCCGTGCGCTGCTTTGGTTCGCCAGAAGCGGCTTAGTCATGCTGGCCACATGACCTGGAAGCTGTACGCCGGCTTCCTCGGCCAATAAAGTGAGATGAGCACCACAACCCCAGAGTCAGCCACAACTCGACCTAATGGTCAAGGGTCCCTTTACCTTTAAGCTATAGCTTGTTTAGCTTACACTGGGCACAAGTGAATTTCTAGCATTGCGAATTCTAGCTTTAGCATTGCGTGCGTCCACACCATCCAAGGTGTGCAAAACGAGCGAAGTCACGTGTCCCTGAGTCTCAGGGGGTTGGACTAGTAGACCTTTGGGGGTCCCATCCATCTTGGCAATTCTGTGCGAGGTGTTGGGAACGGCCTCTGCGCAGCCGTGCGCGTGATCTCCTCCCTGGCCTGGTGTCCGATGGGGTGAGCCACGTGCGCGGCCGGCTCACGACAACCGTGTCTCCCTCTCTCAGGCGAACCCTCCTGCTTCCCATCCCGGGATTATTTTCAGATGAAGCAAATTAGCCACCTTAATCCCCGCGGGGCCAATTATTCCCCCGTAAAGAAGCTTGCCGTTTAGCCGCTTGCTGGCCGCGATGGCGGATCTGGCGAAAGAGGTGTCAGAGAACATCAGCGTCAGGGGTTTCGCGGCGGGGAGGGTGGTGTGTGAGATAGGAATTGTGGAATTGCAGAATCGGAAGGGGCCACGAGGGTCTGCTATTGCCCAGTGCGAGACTCGAACCCGTGGCCCTTGCTCCATCAAGCAATGCCCATAGACACCCACAGATGTGATGGCAGTTCACAACAAAAAAATGACAGTATTGCACCAGGAGAAATGGGTGCTCTAACCTCATCTGTCTGCTGAGAAATCTCTATGTGGGACAAGAAGCTACAGTTAGAACTGGATATGGAACAACTGACTGGTTCAAAATTGGGAAAGGAGTACGACAAGGCTGTATATTGTCTCCCTGCTTATTTAACTTATATGCAGAATTCATCATGCGAAAGGCTGGCCTGGATGAATCCCAAGCCGGAATTAAGATTGCCGGAAGGAATATCAACAACCTCAGATATGCAGACGACACAACCTTGATGGCAGAAAGTGAGGAGGAATTAAAGAACCTTTTAATGAGGGTGAAAGAGGAGAGCGCAAAATATGGTCTGAAGCTCAACATCAAAAAAACGAAGATCATGGCCACTGGTCCCATTACCTCCTGGCAAATAGAAGGGGAAGAAATGGAGGCAGTGAGAGATTTTACTTTCTTGGGCTCCATGATCACTGCAGATGGTGACAGCAGCCACAAAATTAAAAGACGCCTGCTCCTTGGGAGAAAGGCGATGGCAAATCTAGACAACATCTTAAAAAGTAGAGACATCACCTTGCCAACAAAGGTCCGTATAGTTAAAGCTCCGGTTTTCCCAGTAGTGATGTATGGAAGTGAGAGCTGGACCATAAAGAAGGCTGATCGCCAAAGAATGGATGCTTTTGAATTCTGGTGCTGGAGGAGACTCTTGAGAGTCCCATGGACTGCAAGAAGATCCAACCTCTTGATTCTGAAGGAAATCAGCCCTGAGTGCTCACTGGAAGGACAGATCCTGAAGCTGAGGCTCCAAGACTTTGGCCCCCTCATGAGAAGAGAAGACTCCCTGGGAAAGACCCTGATGTTGGGAAAGATGGAGGGCACAAGGAGAAGGGGACGACGGAGGACGAGATGGTGGGACAGTGTTCTCGAAGCTACCAGCATGAGTTTGACCAAACTGCGGGAGGCAGTGGAAGACAGGAGTGCCTGGCGTGCTCCGGTCCAGGGGGTCACGAAGAGTCGGACACGACGAAACGACTAAACAACAACAAACTGGAAAGGCGAACCAGCCACCCCAGAACAGATCCTGGGTTGCGGATGATTGACAGGTGACCATCTGCAAAGTGGCGCCGGACCTTCTTCCTAACCCGCAGTTCCTCCAAGAGTGCAGCCCCAGCAGAAAACTTTCCAGGGTTATTTTCCTGCAAAAAAAGCTCCCTTTTTGCAAATTAAATAACAAATTATGCAAATTGCAAACGCGGATTGGCGCCCGCGTCATACGTTTAAAGCACTCTTTGCATGTTTAAGCAGTTTTCAATGCCCCATGCACGGAGTCCCCCCCAAAATCCTAGGAATTGTAGTTTCCACCCCGCCCCCCCCCAATAGAGCTACTCTAGTTGTGGCTGTCAAAGTGCATTGGAACTACTTGAACAGCACCAAAGTGCATTGAAGAGGATTGCTGGGGTGCTGCCTCTAACTGTCAGCAGGTGGCGCTGTTTCATTACCTTCCCCTGCTCTGAAGAACATTCTGCTTGAAGGAATGACAAGTTTGGTGGCAACCTTAGGGGCGGCAGGAGGAGTGAGGGAAGGACCTTTGCCTTTGCCTAAATATGATATATGAATAATGCAATTCTGGCTTGATTTGCAGTCAGCGAAGAGGCTGGGAAAAAGAATGGCTGCGATCTCCAACCTAGTTCCCTCCAGGCAATCTGACTGCAGCTCTTATCAGCTCCGGCCAGCTTCCCTGGCTACGTGTAGTCCATAATTCTGTGGACACAGTTCCAAATTCAGCATTCTCAACTTGCTTGCTTAAGCAAAAGCAAGTTTCTAGATCTTAAGGTTGCAAAGAAGGGACTGCAAAATGTGCTGGCTGTGTGCAATGAGATCCCAGCAGCCAGGTGGAGAGGCTGGTCTGTTCCGGCAAATGGGGCTGCCCCACTGACCTCAGTCGACCTTCAGCCAGCCCCCCCCTCCTTAATTCACCTGCCCAGGTGTGTCAGCTCCCTCTTCATTGTCTCAGGGTTGCCCTTGTAGAACTCAGCAAAGCTGGGGGCAAAACTAGAATGAGTTGGCTCTGCTTTGGCGCCACCTACTGTTGGCCTCCCTTGTCTTCTGCCAATAGACCCTTATTCCAATGGGGGCCATGTTAAAGTCCCAGCATTTGGCGGTGGGTATTTCAGACGACAAAGGGACGCGGGTGGCACTGTGGGTTAAACCACAGAGCCTAGGACTTGCCGATCAGAAGGTCGGCGGTTCAAATCCCCGCGACAGGGTGAGCTTATGTTGCTCAGTCCCTGCTCTTGCCAACCTAGCAGTTCGAAAGCACGTCAAAGTGCAAGTAGATAAAGAGGTACCACTCCGGCGGGAAGGTAAACAGCGTTTCCATGCGCTGCTCTGGTTCGCCAGAAGCAGCTTAGTCCTGCTGGCCACATGACCCGGAAGCTGTATGCCAGCTCCCTTGGCCAGTAAAGCGAGATGAGCGCCGCAACCCCAGAGTCGGCCACGACTGGACCTAATGGTCAGGGGTCCCTTTACCTTTATTTCAGACGACTCTGGTCTTGCTGCCCCATGAGTGGCAGAAGCAGATTAAAATTATGGAAGCTTTCTTAATCTACGTAATTCAGACAGGCCGCAGTACCCCACCTCTTCCAGCTGTGGAAGAATAAATTATTATTATTATTATTATTATTATTATTATTATTATTATTATTATTATTATATTTATACCCCTGCCCATCTGGCTGGGTTTCCCCAGTGGTGACTGTCAAAGTCCATTGTAACTAGTCCACTGGAACTAGTTGAACACCCCACAAAGTCCCCCTTTGCCTCCTGATTCCGTGGGTCGCATGGGGCTGAGGCCCAGACTATTTGAAGGACAACAAACCCGCCTGGGCTCTGGGGTCCCTAGGAGAAGGCCTTCTCTCAGTCCACCACCCTCACAGGGCTGCTTGGTGGGGACGTACGACGGGGCCTTCTCAGTGGTTGCTCCTCCCAGACAACTTTGGAACTCCCTTCCGAGAGAAGCCAGACTGGCTTCCTCCTTGCTGTCCTTCTTCTGGCAAGAGAAGATGCTTTTATTCCCGCAGGCCGTTGGAGAACTGACACTTCTTCTTTTTTAAGAAAACGGCTTTTAAAAGCGCTGTGCTATTATCTGCATTTTAACAGATTTTTTAAATAAAATATCATTTTGATTCTGTGAAAGTGCTTTTTAGCCGTTCCCTTGGTATGTTTTTAGCTTTCGGCATTGCGTTTGCATTGTTTTTTTGAATTCGCAAAAGCCGCCTTGAGCCCTGGTGTGGAGAAAGAGTGGGATATAAATAAAGAAATCTATTTATTTTATTTTATAGATTTCTTTATTTATATCGCACCCTTTGTGGGAGGGTGGGGGAGGGAGGGGAAATGGGGGGGAATAAGGATGATATGTTTTTGGATATGTTTTGTTTAAATTTTGAATTAAAAAAAATAAAATTAATAATAATAATAATAATAATACAAAGACTTGAAGTCTGAGCCAAAACATGTGCAAACACCCTCAGTGACCTGTGCCCCCTGTTTCTCGCTCGTTTTCTTTTTTTCGCCAAATGCTTTTTATTGAGATTTAAGAACACAAACACCGACCAACAAAAACATCAAATCTTATTACATATTACATATATCCTACTTTTGCTCCATAGAGCCGTTGACTTCCGTCCTTCCCTTCCGCAAGTTTTCTTATTCCAATCTATAATTCACACTTTCATTGGTTAAAAATTACACCGTGACATAAGATTTAATTCGATCCTGCCCACGTTTTCATATTTCTACAGTTCTCACTTATATAAACCATAAATTTGCTCCATTCTTTTTGGTAGTTCGTCTCCTTCTGATTGCGAATTCTGTGTGTCAATTTTGCCGTTTCAGCGTATTTGAGCTTTATCTGCCATTCCCTTACAGTCAGAATCTCCTGTAATTTCCACTTTTTCTCGCTCGTTTTCTTCCAGGGCGCAATAGTGGAAAAGAGGATTCTCGCCAAAGTCCACAGCCGATTCATCGTCACCCTGGCGTACGCCTTCCAAACCAAAAATGACCTCTGCCTCGTTATGACACTGATGAACGGAGGAGACCTCAGGTGGGAGACCCTTTTGCGGGACAAAAATGCCAGGATCTGAAATATACCCCATATGCTCTTTATTCAGCTCATAGTGGGGAGGAGGAATGGAAGTTCCCCCCAAAGTATCTGCTTTATATACATTATTTACACCAGTGTTTCCCAAACTTTTTTGGGCAACGGCACACCTGTTTACTGAAAAAAAATCTCACGGCACACCACCATTAAAGCCCCGCCCCGTGACGTCAGCGCGCAGCGTCACGCCGGGAGGGACGCAGGAAAGTGAAAGTTTTTTCCCTCCCCCTTGCCGGGGAACCTCCAAGCTTTGGGGGTGGGAGGAGGCAGCAGAGCGAGGGACTGAGGGACGGCGGCAAGTCCCGCCCCCTCGCCAGACTCCCTGCTCGGCTCGGCTCACTAGCCAGGCGGCCAGTGGAGAGAGAGCCGCAATTACCATAAAGCTCCTCTCCCTCCGCTTCGCCAAGCTGTCAAAGCCCGGCAGCAGCAGGCGCAGCCAGACCCCCGCCAGCCAGCCCGCCCGCCCGGCTTCCTCTCCTTTTTTTGCCCGCGGCAGAAGGCTTTGCTCTCCCCCTTCTGCGACCTCCTCGCCAAGCCGAGCGAGCGCGGGCTCCCTAACCCGTGGATTTTAGTAGGGGCAGAGAGCTGCTAGTGCGAGCGCGCCCCCCGCCCATGTTGCGCCCGGTGCGGCCGGCACCCCTGGCACCCCCCACGCTACGCCACTGGCGGCAACTGAGGCGGCGGCGGCTGTTGTGGTGGTGGCGGCGATAGCGGGCGGAGGAGGGGGCGGCGGCGGGGCTTGAGGAGCCGTCGCCGGGAGTTGCTGCTGCTGTTGTTGCTGCTGCTGCCCGGACATGCCGGCCTCCTCCTCCTCCGCTGTCTCGCGCTCCTCCCTTTTGCACGCGCTGCCCCGCCGCTTGGCACCACCACCGCGGAGCCGCCCCCGGCTCGACGCGGATCCTCGCCGCCGCCGCCTCTCACCGCCCGACTCGCCCGCCTCCCTCCCACGGCACACCAGCCAATGTCTGACGGCACAGTAGTGTGCCGCGGAACACCGGTTGGGAAACACTGATTTACACAATGGGCTGCACGTGATTGGCTAATTCCGGACTTCTCCTGTAGGCCAATCAGGTTGTGGATTCACTTCTATCTGGAGCTGGATTGGGTGGCTCCTGCTGACCAATCATACTGCTGCATTGTTCTAGGACCAATCAGACTGCTGCATTCTGAATCCTATTGTTCTAGGACCAATCAGACTGCTGCCTTTTGGATCCTATTGTTCTAGGACCAATCAGACTGCTGCAGTTTGGATCATGAATTCCTATGCCCCACAAATAACCCAGAGATGCGTTTTAAATAAAAGGACACATTCTACTCATGTGAAAACACACTGATTCCCGGACCGTCTGCCGGCCGGATTGAGAAGGCGATTGGGCCAGATCTGGCCCCCGGGCCTTAGGTTGCCTACCCATATCTTAGATCTTAGTGGGGTAGGATTGCAGAGGGTACGGGTCACTAATAATAATAATAATAATAATAATAATAATAATAATAATAATTTATACCCCGCCCATCTGGCTGGGTTTCCCCAGCCACTCTGCGCAGCTCCCAACAAAATATTAAAAATACAGTAAAACATCAGACATTAAAAACTTCCCTAAACAGGGCTGCCTTCAGATGTCTTCTAAAAGTCAGATAGTTGTTTATTTCCTTGACATCTGACGGGAGGGCGTTCCACAGGGCGTGCGCCACCACCGAGAAGGCCCTCTGCCTGGTTCCCTGTAACTTGGCTTCTCGCAGTGAGGGAACCGCCAGAAGGCCCTCGGCGCTGGACCTCAGTGTCCCGGCAGAACAATGGGGGTGGAGATGCTCCTTCAGGTCTACTGGGCCTTTGAGGCCATTTAGGGCTTTCAAGGTCAGCACCAACACTTTGAATTGTGCTCGGAAACGTACTGGGAGCCAATGTGGGTCTTTTAGGACCGGTGTTATGTGGTCTCGGCGGCTGCTCCCAGTCTGACAACCAGCGCACCTTTTTCGTTTCAGATAGTACACAGGAAGATGAGCCTTAAAAGCCCGGGACACAAATTTTCACAGCCCTCTAGCAGCTCAGGTGCCTCATTTAACAGAAGCAATGTATCTAGTGTTAACTCTGAAAGTCTGTACAGTGGAACCTTGGGTTAAGAACTTAATTTGTTCTGGAGGCCCGTTCTTAACCCGAAACTGTTCTTAACCTGAGGTACCGCTTTAGCTAATGGGGCCTCCAGCTGCCGCGGCGCAATTTCTGTTCTCATCCTGAAGCAAAGTTCTTAACCCGAGGTACTATTTCTGGGTTAGCAGAGTCTGTAACCTGAAGCGTATGTAACCCGAGGTACCACTGTATTCAGTTCTGACCAAAATATCCCGGTGGATATTTTGCTCTGTGGGCATCCCGCGTTTCAGAAACGTGCGACGGGATTCGATTTGGGGCTTTGCCTCCCTTCCCAGGTACCACGTCTATAACGTCGACGAGAAAAACCCCGGCTTTTCGGAATCCAGGGCGATCTTCTACACGGCTCAGATCATTTGCGGCCTCGAACACCTCCATCAAAACCGCATCATCTACCGTGACCTCAAGCCAGAGAACGTCCTTTTGGACGATGCAGGTAAGGGAAGCAACACGCTGAAAGATCCAGGAATTTTCCATGTGTGGTTAAACTGCGGAACTCCCTGCCACAGGAGTGGCCTCCAACCCGGATGGCTTCCAACATTCCCAAATAAGTGTATCTTTTCATTTCCGTTTCCAAATGCCGCACCCAGCCTGTCAATCGGTTCCTTATGACGGCTTCTTATTTCTCTCGCCCTCCCCCCCCCCCGCCTCCCCCCCCCCGATTCAGGACATGTGCGGCTGTCAGATTTGGGCCTGGCGGTGGAACTGGCAGAAGGGAAAGACAAGACCAAGGGCTACGCGGGCACGCCAGGTGGGCACACCGTTATTCAGGGTCCTCCTCTTCAGCTGCAGTTCCTGCGATTTAGCTGCGGCTCCTCCATCGCAGCGGGTTGGGCTAGATGACCGCTGGGGGGTCCCAGCTCTGCAGTTCTGTGATTCTGCGGTTCTTCCTCTCTCCTTTCCCTGCAGGGTTTATGGCCCCGGAACTCCTTAAGGGAGAGGAATACGACTCGAGCGTGGATTACTTTACGCTGGGAGTAACCCTCTATGAGATGGTCGCCGCAAAAGGACCTTTCCGCAGCCGCGGGGAAAAAGTACGGCATTTATTTTATTTTATGCCATCGGATTTATACTGTACACGCCTTTTCTTCCTAATGTCTCAACAAATGAAACTGATTTGTAAAAATGTTACATGGAAAAAAATACAAGAGACATTACACATACTTCTGTAAAACAAGAAAATCTTTAATAAAAAGAATTTTTTTAAAAAATTATAGACTGTGGAAAACAGAAAATCAAAGCAATTAGGGTTGCCATATTTCAAGAAGTAAAAATCCGCACACTAAAGTTATTGAGCTTTTCTTGGGAAATGGCCCAAAAAGTTGTTGAGCTCAAAAGTTAGAATTCGCGCAAAAAAAGGCAGCGAATGATACTCAAACACACGCTTCCTGGTTCTGTTGGCAAAAACCCGGACATTTTGCTGATTTCCCAAAAATTCCCCAGGATGCTAATTTCGACATTTGAATCCCGGACAAGTCCAGGAAATTCTGGATGTATAGCAACCCATTTACACAGAAGATAGAAATTTGAAGACGTTAGGTAAAGGTAAAGGGACCCCTGACCGTTAGGTCCAGTCGTGACCGACTCTGGGGTTGCGGCACTCATCTCGTTTTATTGGCCAAGGGAGCCGGCGTACAGCCGGCGTACATGTGGCCAGCATGACTAAACCGCTTCTGGTGAACCAGAACAGCGCACGGAAACGCCGTTTACCTTCCCGCTGGAGCGGTACCTATTTATCTACTTGCACTGGTGTGCTTTCAAACTGCTAGGTTGGCAGGAGCAGGGACTGAGCAACGGGAGCTCACCCTGTCGCGGGGATTTGAACCGCCGACCTTCTGATTGGCAAGTCCTAGGCTCTGTGGTTTAACCCACAGCGCCACCCGCGTTGAAGACGTTAGCAGGGCTGAAATAAATCTTATGTCATGGTCTAGATATCACTAAGGAACTGTGGATCAGGGGTCGGAATAAGAAAACCTGCGGAAGGGAGGGAAGTCAATGCTTTGTAGAGCGTAAAGAAAGAGAGATGTAAAAGGATATGAAATATTAGTGTATTTTGTTTGTGCATATAAAATGAAAACTTAATAAAAAGCATTTAAAAAAAAAAAAGAAATACTGCCCCTCAATGAGGCCAAACTTAGATTCACAAAATGTTTAGGGGTATGTGTACCCCCAGGAAAAAAAGCACTGGACCTTAATATTCCCAATGGGTACGAATATTATGGTACTGATTATTAACAAAAAACGAAACCGTGTGTTTGTTTTATATCTCACATAAAGATTTTCCGCCTTTCTGCATGTGATGGGGCAGCAGAAAAAGCTTTTTAGAACAAGGTCCAGCACCTTTCTCCCTCCTGCCACAGGTAGAGAACAAGGAAGTGACGCGTCGCATCCTGAACGACCCTGTCACATACCCGGATAAGTTCAGCGCCGAGTGCAAGGCCTGCTGCGAGGGGCTGATGATGAAAGACCCGGCCGCTCGCCTGGGGTTCAAGGACAACGAATGCGCAGAGTTGAAGAAGCACCCTGTTTTCCAGAAGATAAACTGGGGCCGCCTGGAGGCAGGTAAGGACCTCCAGGCCAGGCGGTTGCGGTGGGGTTAAGTGGGATCACCCGACTTCTGAGCCATTACGCTAGCCATAGCTGTCAACTGTCCCTTATCTGGCGGGAAAGTCCCTTATCCCAGCGCCGTGTCCCCCTGCCGTCCCTTATTGATGATGTCCCTTAAATTTCCCGGGTTTCAAAGGAAGCAGCTCCTCTCCCTCCCTCCCTGCCGGCCAGGGAGGCTCCAGCTGTGTTGCTTGGCTGCGTTGCTCACCCAATAAGGAGTCTGAGAACCACTGGGGGGTGGAGCTTGCATGCCTTGTGCCAATCAAATCGGCCGCGTTGCCTGGGGACTCGCCTTTGCTCAGCGCTTCCCAGCGGAGAGATGACGGTGGTTTTCCTTGCTGCATCCCCTTTGCTGGGTTGCTGCGCTGTGGGAACCGCCGCTTGAGGCTTCCTTTGGCTGCTGGCTGGGCTTTCTGCCTTTGGCTCGGAGGGGCTCAGAAGCTGAACATACCTGTGCCCTGAAAATCCCTTATTTTGGCTGCTGATCCCTTATTTTCAAGGCTGCTGGTCCCTTATTTTCAAATCTGTAAGTTGACAGCTATGACGCTAGCCCAGGACTGATGGGAGCTGTGGTCCAAAATGTCTCAGAGGGCACAAGGTTTAAATCTTCCGGGAGTTAAAAGTGCAATAGGCTTAGATTAGAACTCGCACCAGCTTTCTAAGTGCTGTAAACAAAATCTGACCTTATTCCCTTATGGGGGACACATAGAGTCCTTTGCAGGTTCTCCATCGGTTGGAGAAAACAACAGAGGACAACCAGAGAATATTGAAAAGCAAAGCAGTTCGTAAGCCTGATCTTTTGATCTGTTGCAACAGGGTGCCCCCCTCACACGCAGGAGGAGGAGGAGGACCCAGAAAAATGGCGCGCAAGGCCTTATAAAGACTTTTGAAATTGCCACCCTGTAGATCAAGACCAGGGACACGGGTGACACTGTAGGTTAAACCACAGAGTCTAGGACTTGCCGATCAGAAGGTTGGCAGTTTGAATCCCCGCGACGGGGTGAGCTCCTATTGCTCAGTCCCTGCTCCTGCTCAACCTAGCAGTTCGAAAGCACGTCAAAGTGCAAGTAGATAAATAGGTACCGCTCCGGCGGGAAGGTAAACGGCGTTTCCGTGCGCTGCTCTGGTTCGCCAGAAGCAGCTTAGTCATGCTGGCCACAGGACCCAGAAGCTGTACGCCGGCTCCCTCGGCCAATAAAGCGAGATGAGCGCCGCAACCCCAGAGTCGGTCACGACTGGACCTAATGGTCAGGGGTCCCTTTACCTTTAGATCAAGACCACCCACCAGATACATCATACCTACATCACAGAAAAGGCGGTCTAAAACAGATATGTGAATGTTGTTTTTCCTGTTGTTTTTCCTGTTATCTGATTGCCTTTCCTGATAGTCTGTCACTCATTAAAATGCTGATTAGTTAATTCCTGAGAAAATGGGAAGGCTCCCTGACCCCCCTCTCCCTCCTTGCAGGGAAAATATTTGGTCAATTTGGGAATCAAAATGGTTTCTGGTCGGTCTTCCTGTGCTGAACCATGTACAGTGGTACCTCGGGTTACATACACTTCAGGTTACATACGCTTCAGGTTACAGACTCCGCTAACCCAGAAATAGTACCTCAGGTTAAGAACTTTGCTTCAGGATGAGAACAGAAATCGCGTGGCGGCAGCCGGAGGCCCCATTAGCTAAAGTGGTGCTTCAGGTTAAGAACAGTTTCAGGTTAAGAACGGACCTCCGGAATGAATTAAGTACTTAACCCGAGGCACCACTGTACTTGCTCGACTAGACCCACCTTGGGCCTCCTCATTTAGGCACAAACTGGTTCGCTGCATTGCCATTACAGTGGTACCTTGGTTTGCAAACAGTCTGGTTTGCATATGTTTTGGATTACAAACACATCAAACCCAGAAGTGCGTGTGTCCCGGTTTGCAAACTTCTTTTGCATTACAATCAATTTATTTTTTTTTGGATTACAACCAAATTTGTTTTGGAGGCCCCATTGGCGAAAGTGCGCCTTGGGTTGCAACCTGTTTTGGTTTACAAACAAACCTCTGGAATGGATTATGGTTGTAAACCAAGGTACCACTGTATTTATTTTGTTGCGACTCCAAAGTCACACACAAGGGCTGTGCTCCAGCTCCACTGCCAAAGGCACTTCAAGTACTTTCCGTATTTTTCGCTCTATAAGACGCACCAGACCACAAGACGCACCTAGTTTTTGAAGGAGGAAAACAAGAAAAAAAATATTCTGAATCTCAGAAGCCAGAACAGCAAGAGGGATTGCTGTGCAGCGAAAGCTGTGATCTCTCTTCCTGTTCTGGCTTCTGGGATAGCTGCGCAGCCTGCATTCGCTCCATAAGACACACACACATTTCCCCTTACTTTTTAGGAGGGGAAAAGTCTTATAGAGCAAAAAATACGGTAACCCGAGGTACCACTGTAGGTTCTTGGTTGGTACACCTATGAACATTACCATATATCTCAGCCCTCCAAATTCCTATCGCACTCCCTTCCCCCTTCCGCTTCAGGCCTGGTGGAGCCCCCCTTCGTGCCAGACCCCAAGGTGGTCTACGCCAAAGACATTGGCGACGTGGGAGCTTTCTCCACGGTGAAGGGCGTCGTGCTTGACGAGACGGACAAAGCCTTCTACGACGACTTCTCCACGGGCAACATCCCCATCCCCTGGCAGGAGGAGATGGTCGAGACGGGCGTCTTCGGAGAGCTCAACGTCTCTTGGGCCAAGGGCTCCACCCCCAGGGATCTGGACCGCAACGCACCTCCAACAAGCACCTCCAGCAAGTCGGGGACCTGCCTGCTGCTCTGAAGAGAGGCGGGGAGGTGTGTCTCCGGACACCAGGACTCCGGCCGCTGCGGCGGCCATCGCCGGACTCGCAACAGGGACCAGCTTCCGGCTGGCGGGTGATGCCCACTAGGCTGCGCTGCCCTTCCAGAACTGGGTGGCGGTGGAAAGAAGCCGGGCACTGTAAGCCGCTGGGGCCCTTTCTCTACCAGAGACAGGACTCTGCTTCACTACGTGGCGGGGGCAGTGGGGAACTCGAACTGGGTTCTGGCCGGCCTGCTCTGACCACTAGGCTCTGCAACCCTCCTAGCGCACCCGGGAGGCCCTTCCTAATTTTAATTAAATTTTCAGTCTGCAATGAGGTTCACACACACACACGTTCACACACACACCGGAGACTCCTGGGTTTGGATAGGAAGCGGCAGCTATTGGACAAGGGAGGGGGGCTTGCGTTCTTAAGAAATTGGGGTGGGGACACATCAAATACATTCAAGGCATCTGGTGTGGGGGGGCAGTTCCTCCTCCCTGTTTCACGCTGGAGCACTTTACTTGGGGGGGGGAATGATTATGGTGCTGAACAAACGGAATAATTGATCCCATCACCGGCATTTATCCTCGGTCGTTTAACAACTTCTCTCACCTATCACCCCCTCCAGAGTTAGAGGTTATGGAGAAAGGGCGGTATCTGGGAGGGGTCTGGGACCCCCAAAACGGGGGCAGTTTGGGGGTTTCAGTCCGGCGGGGGTGCAAGGTAGCTCTTTGTTGCGAAGCCGCAGTGAAGTGTCAATTGCGCCTGAAGTGTCAATTGCGCAGTTTGGGGGTGAAGTGCGGGGTTCGCAGCACTAAATTTTGGCATTGGTTTGAGGGCATCCAGAATTTTGGGGTTACACGTTAACGGAGCGACTTAGAGGGGTAGCAGTTCCCTGTGGTGTGTGTGAGAAAGAATAAAAAAGGTAAAAGGGACCCCTGACCATTAGGTCCGGTCGTGGCCGACTCTGGGGTTGCGGCGTTCATCTCGCTTTATTGGCCGAGGGAGCTGGCGTACAGCTTCTGGGTCATGTGGCCAGCATGACTAAGCCGCTTCTGGCGAACCAGAGCAGTGCATGGAAACGCCGTTTACCTTCCTTCCGGAGCGGTACTTATTTATCTACTTGCACTTTGACATGCTTTCGAACTGCTAGGTTGGCAGGAGCTGGGACCGAGCAACAGGAGCTCACCCCGTCGCAGGGATTCGAACCGCCGACCTTCTGAGCGGCAAGTCCTAGGCTCTGTGGTTTAGACCACAGCACCACCCACGTCCTGAGAGAGAGAATAGAGGCATCCTATTTTTAAGGCACCCTCCATTTTCCTGTTGTTGGAAGATTCCAAGAAAGTCCTTCCCGCAGCTTGAAGTTGAACCGTGGAACTCCCTGCCACCAACTCGGATGGATTTAAAAGAGGATTGGACAAATTTACGGAGGAGAGAGCTATCACCGGCTACAAGCTAGGGTGTCTCTATGGTCTGCCTCCACGGTCAGAGCCAGCAATGCTTTTGAATCCCAGTTGCTGGAAACCACAGGAGGCGAGAGGGATCTTGCGTTCGAATCCTGCTTGTGGGTTTCCCATAATAGTCACTGTGAGAGCAGTTTAAGGACCTGCATTAGAAATAACTGGGTGTTGTTGTTTTTTAAAAAAGCACCAAACAGGCCAGTTAATTGGGAACACTCTTGCAACAGATTTATCATTCCTATTACCTACATGGGACGCGGGTGGCGCTGTGGGTTAAACCACAGAGCCTAGGACTTGCCAATCAGAAAAGTTGGCGGTTCGAATCCCCGCGACGGGGTGAGCTCCCATTGCTCGGTCCCTGCTCCTGCCAACCTAGCAGTTCGAAAGCACATCGAAGTGCAAGTAGATAAATAGATACCGCTCCGGCGGGAAGGTAGACGGCATTTCCATGCGCTGCTCTGGTTCGCCAGAAGCGGCTTAGTCATGCTGGCCACATGACCCGGAAGCTGTACGCCGGCTCCCTCGGCCAGTAAAGCAAGATGAGCGCCGCAACCCCAGAGTCGGTCACGACTGGACCTAATGGTCAGGGGTCCCTTTACCTTTACTTTTATTACGTACATGGGTTGCTCAGTTAAATGCTGCAGTCCTAGGAAAGATACAGAGTTTGAATCAAAAGGGGCTGCAGCCGCAATCACACATCTGGGTCCCAACGACAACAATCTTGCGGGGTTGTCCGCCACCAACAGCCAGAGCTGGTCCACGCAGCATATTCTCTTCACCCGTTGCTCAGGTTTTCAAAGGGACGCCTTCCTTGCAATCTCCCATTCTGTCACTAAGAATCACACACACACAAAGACTTCCTATTGCACATTGACTTCTGTTGTAAACAAAAGCTGCCCTTCTTCCCTTATGGGGGACATAAGAGCCCGTATAGAGTCCTTTGCAGGTTCTCCATCGGTCGGAGAAAATAACAGAGGCCAACCAGAGAATATCGAGAAGCAAAGCAGCTTGTAAGCCTGATCTTTATTCAAGCTGTTGCAACCAAGCAAGCTTCGGGATCCATGAAACAGCAGATGCATGAAGGTGTATATGCTTTGGTTTAGCAGGAACGAACCCTTATGGAGCTAAATTGACTAATTTGGACAAGTACCCTTTTTAGAATGGTTTTTCACAGATGGGTTTGAAAAGTTGAGAACCACGGGGCTATATAAATTCTAACTGGACTCAGTTTGAATTGCGCAAGTGTATCCAGGCTGCAAATGACGTGGGTGGCGCTGTGGGTTAAACCACAGAGCCTAGGACTTGCCGATCAGAAGGTCGGTGGTTCGAATCCCCGCGACGGGGTGAGCTCCCGTTGCTCGGTCCCTGCTCCTGCCAACCTAGCAGTTTGAAAGCATGTCAAAGTGCAAGTAGATAAATAGGTACCACTCCGGCGGGAAGGTCAACGGCGTTTCCGTGCGCTGCTCTGGTTCGCCAGAAGCGGCTTGGTCATGCTGGCCACATGACCCGGAAGCTGTACGCCGGCTTCCTCGGCCAATAAAGCGAGATGAGCGCCGCAACCCCAGAGTCGGTCACAACTGGACCTAAGAGTCAGGAGTCCCTTTACCTTTACTATTAAGGCTGCAACTAGCTTTTTTGGTCCCTTCGTGGTCGCCATCTGTTGTAAACAAAATTTGCCCTTCTTCCCTTATGGGGTATCCAAGAGCCAGTATAGAGTCCTTTGTTCTGGGTCCTCCTCAGGGAGGACCCTGTTGCAACAGCTTTAATAAAGATCAGGCTTACGAGCCGCTTTGCTTCTCAATATTCTCTGGTTGGCCTCTGTTATTTTCTCCTACCGATAGGGAACCCACGTAAGGACTCTATACAGGCTCTTGGATACCCCATAAGGGAAGAAGGGCAGATTTTGTTTACAACATTACCACACACAGCCAACTCCAATTCAGGCATGCCACAAACGTGACCATCACACGTCCTTTACATTTATGGTCTGCTTTCATTCTTAGAACTTATAACCTGCTCTCTCTTTTTGGGCCAAAGGGTGCGAAAGCACTGCATTCTGACTGGCGGATGTGGTCCAAATTATTATTATTATTATTATTATTATTATTATTATGTGAAAGCCCCACTCCAGGGTTTACTTCTGAGCAAACAGACAACCTGATTGCGCTGCCTAGCTCAGGCACCCCCAAACTCGGCCCTCCTCCAGCTGTTCTGGGACTACAATTCCCATCATCCCTGACCACTGGTCCTGTTAGCTAGGGATGATGAGAGTTGTAGTCCCAAAACAGATGGAGGGCCGAGTTTGGGGGTGCCTGGCCTAGCTGCAACCCTACACGTCCCATTGAGAACAGCGGGGCTTACTCCTGAGTAAATAGGGGGGGGTGATCTCCGGCAGCCCTTTACTTCCTTTTTTATAAAGTCACTTACCACAAGGTGTTTGGCTCTCTTGGGTAAGCTAAGTTCAGTCAAAACCAGGAGAATTTTTGACTTGCCAGGGGCAAGTTCCCACACCCAGAAGGGACTGGGGGGAGATTCAGTTCAGTTTGTATTTAAAGCAGAACCTGGCTACTCCAAAAACGCTATGCAAACAGAAACACATCCATCCTTTGAAATTTGTATTTCTCTTTTTGAGTTTCCAATGCAGCTGTCTCCGGCCAAGAAATGTGTACAGGAGAAATAATGCGTACGTACTGTACTAAGCTAAAGTGTGCATGTAAATGCATATACATAAATGTGTGCATATATATATGTGTGTGTGTGTGTGTATCTCTATATATATAAAACATATCCCCCAAAATTGCACTAAATTAGGGGAAATCGCTTTGCAAAAATGTCTATATCGAGCAAAACAGCATTAAAAAAAATGCGTACATGAAAATAAATTTGCGCCAAGATGCTGATGAACTTTCACAAGGATTTTGTTTCTGTTTAAAAATGGCAGACTGCTGTAAAAATGGGAAGCACCACGCTTAGGACTGGAAAAACAGCAACATGAAAGTAAAGGAAGCTGAGACTGCCAGATTCAGTCACCGCCCTGTCCCTACACACAACACACACGCAAAACCTCGCACAACCGCCCGCAATCACAACCGAAATCTGGTCAGGCCGTCCCCAGCCACTCAGCAATCGCACAACTACGCCTCGGACTGAGGCCTCGTCTGCACTGCACATTTAAAGCAGAATCACTGTTTTAAACAGTGTGCCGTCGTCCCCCAAAGGATCCTGGGAGATGTAGTTTGTTAAGGGTGCTGAGAGTCCTTAGGAGACTCCTCTGGGGTGCCAGGTGATACGGAAGCGGGGGGCATGCCTTCCGTCACCCTTCTACTAACCACCCGAAGGTCCGAGGCGATGACCTCAAGGGCTCACAACCCCACGTGGACCCCTCAGCCCCCACACCGTTACACAAGCACCACACTCTACCCCAAGCCCCTTAAATAAAGTGCCTCTCCTACCCCGATCCGCTATTACGGGCGAAATAAGCCCAAGTTCTTATGCCTCTTTCCCGCTCTATCTTTACTGTGGGTTGACCGTACGAAGCTGTATCCCCCATTCGTTTCAATGGCTGCGTTCTATCCAATCAGAACCATGCATTTGCTTTGCAGAGCTAGCTCAGCGAGCTCCTGCACACCTCATTTAACCTCTTGA